CCAAAACCGCTCCGACGGGAGAGTACCTGACCACCGGCAGCTTCATGATCAGAGGTCAGAGGTCAGGTCATCTGCAGATCACTATATGGGGAAGATCACTAAATGTTCTTTTTGGCTTTTCCACAGGAAAGAAAAACTTCCTGCCTCCGTCATATCTGATCATGGGCTTCGGGTTTCTGTTCAAGGTGAAGACGCTGTTGTTTATCATCGTTATCAGTGGTCATGTGATCATCATCATCAGGACTCTCTTCTTCTGCGGTTGCAGGTCGATGATCAAAGTGTCTTCAGGCATCGAGGAGAGAGGAAGATGAAGACCCTGGATGAGGAAGAGGACGTGGCGTCCAGCACTGCAGACCTCCTGGAGGAAGGAGACGAACTCTTAGGTTCCTGAACATCATCATCATCTCTTTTCGATCTCAAGCCTCCGTCAGATACTCAAACTCTGTGCTGTGTGTAGGTGAAGACAGCGAGCGTGAGGAAGAGGAGGAGCCGCAGGCCGAGAGCAACACCAGAGACGAGGAAGAGCAGAGCGGCGAGATCAGCTTTCCCGACACCAGCATCTCCCTGTCACACCTGCAGCCCAACAGGTGTGTGTGTGTGTGTGTGTGTGCGCGTGTGTGTGTGTGACGGGACGATAGCTTCAGTCCGTGTCTCTCTCTCTGCAGGACTCTTCACACCAACCCCTTCACGCAGGGCGAGCCGCATCAGGTGTGTGACCAACTGATTACATCACTCTGTTTGAACTCAATGTGCAGATGTTTAAAGTGTGTGTGTCCTGCAGGCAAACGCAGCCGAGGCTCATGGGAGAAAACACCTGACGGCCAGACAGCGCAGGTGAGACCACACACACCCACAACAGCGCAGGTGAGACTACACACTCACTCACACACTCACTCACACACACACACACCTGTTGCTGTCACCAGGGACATGAAGAAGCAGAGGCCGGAGAGTGAGGACGCCCCCGAGGAGAGCGGCGCCGCAGACGTGCAGACTCCCAGCGGTGCGGAGAGCAGGAGCGGGGTCACAGAGCCGGCCGAGAGCAGGAGCGGGGTCACAGAGCCGGCGGACCGCAGGAGCGGGGTCACAGAGCCGGCGGAGAGCAGGAGCGGGGTCACAGAGCCGGCGGAGCGCAGGAGCGGGGTCACAGAGCCGGCAGAGCGCAGGAGCGGGGTCACAGAGCCGGCGGAGCGCAGGAGCGGGGTCATAGAGCCGGCGGAGCGCAGGAGCGGGGTCACAGAGCCGGCGGAGCGCAGGAGCGGGGTCACAGAGCCGCTGAAGAGAGGACAGAAGGTCAGTTACCCTAAGCTCCACCAGCACCGTCACGGTCAGCTGATCCAGCCACTGACGCCTGCCTCTGTTTCTCTCAGAACAAACTGAAGAAGATGAAGGACAAGTACAAAGACCAGGATGAAGAGGACCGGGAGATGATGATGAAGCTGTTGGGGGTCAGTCACAGTCTCACATGCGTAAAACACGAGCTTGGGGAAATATCCTGAGTGTGTGTCTAACCTCCTCATGACAGTCCGCAGGATCCAGCAAGGAGGAGAAGCCGAAGAAGGGCAAGAAAGGGAGGATGAAAGAAGAGCCGGTCAGGAAACATCCTCCTCCTCCTCAGAAAGCGGTGGTGAAGCCCCAGGCCGTGGCCATCGTCCACCCGAGCGCCGACGCCGACGATCCCGACTCCAAGGTACAGCTCTGGGGAGACGCTACAGTGCTCTGAGTCGTGAGTGTGGGACTGACTGAACTGTGCTTGTGTTGCAGGAGACGGAGGACGTAGACAACCCTGTGGCTGAGGTGAGGGAAGCAGGACAAACAGGAAGTGGAAAGTAGACTTCCTTTCCGAGTTATGATGTATAATTGAGCTTTATTACTGGACATGTGTGATTGTGAGTGTTGTGTATCAGGACGTTCTGGACTCTCTGACCGGTCTGCCGCACCCGGACGATGTGCTGATGTTCTCCGTGCCCGTCTGCGCTCCCTACATGGCGCTCGCCAACTACAAGTGTGCTTTAGGATTCAGTTTAACAGATTCACAACGCCACATAATAACACTCTCAGAACTTAATCAACATTCTGCCCTGTTTTGACTCCAGGTACAAAGTGAAATTAACACCAGGGACTCAGAAAAAGGGCAAAGGTAAAGATTGGCTTTATGTAAAGCGATAATGCTGTAAGTGTGTGTGAATGTGATGTAACGTGTGTGTGTGTGCGCAGCTGCCCGCACGGCCGTGCTGAGCTTCATGCGAGGGAAAGATGCCAGCGCTCGAGAGAAGGACTTGTTCCGGAGCGTCAAGGTATGTGAAGCTCGTGTCTGTGCTTCTGGCGATTGGCCGGGATCAGTCATGTGACGCCGCTGTTTTACAGGACACGGATCTGTCCAGGAACATGCCTGGGAAGGTGAAGGTGTCGGCGCCGAACCTCTTAGCAGCGAAGAAGAAGTGAATCACGCTCTGAACCGCCTTCGCACAGACTGGAGATTCACGTGTGTTTGATGACGGAGAACATTTCCCTTCAACTGGTTGGATTTAATAATAAAAAAAATCTAAATTACAGTATAAATGTGAACATCGCTTCATTTATTTTACACATCGGAAAAATCAAAAACAACAAACAGATGAACAACATTTCGGCTTGTGGTCTGCATCAGAACGTCTGGACTGGATCAGTTGGTGAGTCGAGGGGATTATACAGTAGATGTGTCAATCAAAGGTTTGGAAAACAGATTTCAGTTCTTTAAATGTTATGCTTGCGATCGGGAGATTGTCAAACTGAGGAGCAGAACGGCGGCGAGAGCGACGAGTTAATGCAGATCTGCTGTTCAGGGATGGCCTTGTGTTGTTCTTCTGCTACACGAGTCTATGACAGCCTCTGGTGATGGTTCTCCACGTGTTCCGGTGTGACTGTCTTCAGGAGTGTCCCATGATCCTCTGCTGCAGCTGCTGGAGCAGGGCTTTGGGCAGAACGTCCCACGAGTGCTGAAGATGCTTCTGGTGCCGGACGGCCACGTCTGAACACAGCCTGAGGACACACACACACACACACACACACACGATCAACAGAGGCTGAGGACACGAACACACAGGGGGCGAGGCGGTGTGTGTGTGACGCTGTGGAGAGCTGCTCACCTGACCAGAGATTTGGGCTGAACCGTGAAAACCAGTAATTCGTTGCTGTGAGCCTGTAAATACAAATGAAAGAAGAAAGAAGTGACGAGACTGGAGCAGAAAGAGGAGTGCGGGACTCGTGCGAGATCTGAACTGTTCTAAACTAGGACGAGCTTGTGTGTGTGTGTGTGTGTGTGTGTGTGTGTGTCTGTGTGTGTGTGTGTGTGTGTGTGTGTGTACAGGTGAGCGTTTGTTTTCTCCTCACTAGCTCTGTGATGAATAGATGGAGCTGACAAAACCACACAAAACCCAGCCCGGTTCCGACCCGGTCCAGCTCGCTATAAACACACCGCCTACTCGGATCGGTCCAGAGTTTGACCAACGGCCGACCGCACCGCAGGTTAGATTCACTTCACTTCTTATGACAAATATCATGAATGTAAACGCATTTACAAGGCAGGAATAAACTCTCAGTGTGAGGAGAAGTCCTGCTTCCTGAGACAGAGTTAGCGTAGCGTGACCCGAGTTAGCTAAACTAACCTCACGGGCTGCGGCTTCAGCATTAGCAGCGTTTGCTCGTTATAAGGGAGTAAATATGGATATTTTGCTCACCGCTTGTTGATGAGACAGCAGATTATTTGCACATCCTCCAAACACAAACACTTCCCCGTCAGCGCCTAAACACGCCGTGTGCCACAGTCTGCAGAAAACACACATGAAACCAGCAGAACGACACACACACACACACACACACACACGATCATCATGACAGAGACGAGGAGGGTCACCTGGGCCGCTGTGTGTGTTCGTGATCAAACGGCCTCCACTCGTTCCTGCTCACGCAGTACAGCCAGCCATCGCCTGCAACACACACACACACACACACACTGATGAAGCTGTGCTGTCAGACACACACACACACACACACACTGATGAAGCGGTGCTGTCAGACACACACACACACTGATTCCCTCACTCAGTGTCTCTCGGTCGGTGGTGAATCCGCCGAACAGGAACAGGTGGTCAGCTGACACTGGGGTGAGCGAGTGCCAGGACCGGCCGACGGGGCCGTGTTGAGGAACACACCTGAAACACACACACTTTAGTGTGTGAGCTCGTCACAGATCTCTCAGCGGACACACTCACTGAACGCACATCTCACTCCATTCCCACGAGTCCAGATCCAGGCAGTGCAGATCGTTCAGACGCTGATCCTGTGGAGCAACACACTGATCTTCAGAACGCTAAACATGCGAACGACGATACTGATCATAGGAACGCTAGTAGAGGTGATTCACACACACACACACATTTGTTTAGCTATCTTTGTGGGGACTCTCCATAGGCGTAATGGTATTTATACTGTAAAAACTGTATATTCTGTCCCCTTACACTAACTCTACCCATATCTCACACACACAGAGTAACCCAACCCCTAAACCTACCCATCACACACTCAAACACACACCATGTAACGGCCTCCGAAGACGAAGCCTCTGTTGCCAATGGTTGCGCAGGCGTGAGCGGCCCGTGGCGTCGGAGTGTTCCCCTGTACGGACACACACAGGGTCAGGGTCACACACAGGGTTAGGGTCAGGGTCACACACAGGGTTAGGCTCACACACAGGGTTAGGGTTACACACAGGGTTAGGGTCAGGGTCACACACAGGGTTAGGCTCACACACAGGGTTAGGTCACACACAGGGTTAGGGTCAGGGTCACACACAGTGTTAGGGTTAGGCTCACACACAGTGTTAGGGTCACATACAGGGTTAGGGTCACACACAGGGTTAGGGTTAGGCTCACACACAGTGTTAGGGTCACATACAGGGTTAGGGTCACACACAGTGTTAGGGTTAGGGTCACATACAGGGTTAGGGTCACACACAGGGTTAGGGTTAGGGTCACACACAGGGTTAGGGTTAGGCTCACACACAGATCCTGCTGCAACACCACATTAGATCAAGCTCAGCTTTAGCACCTTCGTGATTGGCTGACTCCACGAGGACGTCTCCAGATCCAGGATGTGTATGTGATTGTTCCAGCCTCGTCCTGTTTGGTTCCCCTGAAAAACAGCACATCTGAGTCTCATATGCGTCGCTCACACACACACACACACAATCTTGAATCTACCTTTTCTGTCAAAAATAATGGAAAAAGCAGTATCCTCACAACGGTGTTCCTTTCTCGAAAGAAATTATATCTGCGAGGATTTCCAGTCGGGATTTAGACTGTACTATAGTACCGAGACAGCTCTCATTAGAGTCACATGATCTGCTCTCATCATCCGATCGTGGTTGTATCTCTCTATTAGTGTTACTCGATCTTAGTGCTGCATTTGTTTTCATTTAATATTCAACTATATTAGTGACACTCACACACACACACACACACACACACTCTCACTCATCTGTGTCACGCATGACGTCTGCCGATGAACACAGACTCACCATCAGCGAGTTCTCATCGAGCTCAAACGTTCCTCTGTGACCGGGCTGTGCGGTGTAGCCGTAGCCTCCGAAATACACCAGCCTGCTGAGACAGAGCAAAGGAGGTGTGTGTGTGTGTGTGTGACCTCGCGGATGACATCAACTAGTGTCTGACTGGCCTGATGAACACACACCTGTTTCTGTGGACCCAACAGCCCAGCTTGTCTTTGCAGGTCGGGGCCAGACCCGTCAGACTCATCTTCTCCCAGCGGAGCGCAGGCGTGCGCAGGCGCAGACGGTAAACCTGAGAGAAACACCGACATCTGGAGCTTCACACACACACACACACACACACCAACATCTGGAGCTTCACACACACACACACACACCAACATCTGGAGCTTCAGACACACACACACACACGTTATAAAGCCTCACTGTGTTGGTGTTTCCTCTGGCCTGGTGTCCGCCGAACACGTACAGAACTCCGTCCACACTGGAGCCGCAGCCGCCCGACATGGAGTCCGGCACCTCACCCTCGGACCGCTGCACACGCCTGCACACACACACACACACACACACACCGTCAACAGCAGCTCGAGCACCTCACCCGCCTGCACACACAGACAATCCGGTAGCAGCAGTGTGTGTGTGTGTGTGTGTGTGTGTGTTCCCTACAGCCGGCACACTCAGGGAACTCACCATCTTCCTGTCTCCATGTTGTAGATCCAGATTTCATTCTTCGGCAAGTACAAGTCAGTGAATTCAGTCGCTTCAGCATCTGCATTCTGATACAGGGATAGAGTTATATAGACCATTTCACAAGATGTAAACAACACTGGTCCAGAAGCACTTCCTGTTTCAGTTTGTAACTGTTTTCTTTATTTCACATGTAAAGAAAACATCTTAAAGATGTTTGTTTAACATTTTGATTCAGTTTTAAATGTTCTGTTGGGTTGTAGTGTTAAAAAACTGAAACAGGAAGTGCTTCTGGACCAGTGTTGTTTATATCTTGTGAAATGGTCTATAGAGTTAGTGTGAGATGACCCTTCTTCACGGAAGGGATAATATACATCCAGCCGCTTGTTATCTCAGGATCAGGTCTTCATCAGAAGAGGCTTTATTCTGAGAAAACACACACACACCTGAAGGGGGTCTATTCTGAGATAACAAACGGTAGATGTACATTATCCCGCTTAATTAGACAAAACATTGAGTTTATATATTTTAGTTTTATTAAACACAGAGCTTATGTGGATGAGCCTGTGTTTCTGTTTTCAGAGGTTGTTATCTGGGAATAATACACACTGGATGTGTGATTGACCAATCAGAATCAAGTATTCCCCAGAGCCGTATAATAAACAGTATAGTGTCTGGTGTTACACCTTATATCCTCCCCAGACGAACATGCAGGAGCCGTCGGTGACCGCGATGTGTCCGCTGCGCTCCGCTGGACTCACTCTGGACACACACTCCTCCTCCTCCTCCTGCAGCCAGAAGCCTTCGTCCTCCTCGTCCTCCTCGCCTCCTGCGTCCCACTCAAACTCATCCTCGTCCTCAGCCTCCATGTTCTGGACAAGATCTTCTTCCATGTCAGACCGTCACTATAATGGGACACATTTCACTGAAGCATCTACTCACTGCATTTACACACACTCTCTCTGGCACACACACTCTCTCACAAACACACAAAAGCACACTCACTCACCATAAACATAAAAACACACTCTCGCACACACAAAAGCACACTCACTCATACTCAAACTCCCTCCCTCTCTCACACACACTCACACACACACTCACACCCACTCCCCTAACCCCCCCCCCCCCCTCTCTCTCTCACACACACACACACACACACACACACACACATATGACATAGACTTCCATTGTTTTTATATCAGGTTATACCCAGCCCTTAAACCAAGATATTACAGAAACAGACCAGTAAAATATCCTTACTAGTCGCTGTATAAGTGAGGTAATCTGGCCCTCACAAGTAAAGTTACAGTTAAACACACAATTTTTTCACGAGAGAGAAAGTCGTCAATTGTGTTTCATGTATATAGATAAAATTAGTTTAATAGGCCTAGTTCAAATAATAGTTAAAATCCCTACAGAGGTTCATATATCCTGCCAGTGTGACCACGGAATAACCAATCCGTTTATGTGACAATAATCAGTTGTATTATTGATCAAATCGAGTGAATTATCCCCACTGGTCGTGTTGTTTTGATTGAGCAGCTGACGCGCGCTCACTGCTACAGTCGAATGACAGAAAACTACTCACACGAACGAGAACTACTAATGCTGTCACTTCTGTGTGGTGGACGAGTGGAGAGTCATGAAGAGTAGCTTGTTGTCATGAGTAGCGCTGCTCGCTTGAATTAAAACTGTTTTTAATTCAGAAAGGACTCACCGGAAATTTCTTCTGGTAAAATGATGCCGCCATATTAGTGAGGTCAGTTAGCGTCCACTGCGCATGTGCGACGCTTGGAAGCGCGCGTTATGCAACAGATTAAACATGAGAGATCCTTTCCGTCTGTAGTTTTAAACACGATCTTGTGCTCCAAGAATAGTTATTTGACTCACTTGGTCTGAGTTTTAGCTGAAATTGTGCCATGGATCTGTGTGTTTGCTAATTAGCCGAGTTTTGAACGGCAGAAGAGCGAGCGCCTCAGAACTTCAGGTTTGTTTATTTCTCGATGTATTTCAGTCTGAGCTTATTTACTTATTTAACAAACACGTGTATAATGATCTTTACCAACCAGTAGTGTATGTAACCAGCTAGTATTCGACACAGTATTGTTGATATTAGGGTTAGGGTTCTCTTAAATGGAGAGAAATGTGCTTTTTGGCTCGCTTAGTTGGGGACATTTTAATATTCAACAATATTATTGATCTCGGTTGTATTATATTCATGTTATCACTGTGAAGCTGCTTTGATACACTATGTATTGTAAAAAGCGCTATATAAATAAAGGTGACTTGACTTGTCTTGACTTTTTAAAGCAGAATACTTGCAGAACATATAACCGATACATGACTAACTTAACTGACCCTAACCCTGACTAACACACAGCCTAACTAACCCTGTCTCCTCTGTTGTTGTGTTGTGTTAGTCCTGGTTTCACACACAGACACAGGCTGCTGAAGGATGAAGCTTCAGTGTGATGTGGAGGTTGTTAACCGGATGTTACCAACATTCGGCCTGAAGAATAAAGGCAAACCCAGCCGGGCTGTTTTATCCATCGGGAAGCAGGACAGAAGCTCTCAGAACCACGGCCTGTTTCTGCTGATCTGCACTGCCAAAGACCGAAGCGGGTCCAAATACAAGGCAAGCCTTCCTCGTCTTCCTCATGGCCCGATCGGTTCTCCTCCAGGTCTTGAATAATCTCTGTGTGTTTTCTCTGCAGCTGAAGGAGAACATTGAGAAGTTCTTCACCTGGTTTGTGGAAGAGGGCAAAGCCACGGTTCGCCTGAAGGAGCCTGCGATCGACATCTGTCTGAGTAAAGTAAAGATGTGCTTTCAGTTCTACTGGAGAAAGACTTGAGTCGTCATGTTTTATTGACACCAGTGTGTTTTGAATCAATGTTGATAAATGTTGATCAATTTTATTCGTGAAACCAGCGAACTGATAATCTGATGATAAATGAGTTGATGACTCATATAAGGATTTTAATCTGATCAAAATGTAAAGGATTTTGTTCCAAGTTTTTTGTGAATATACATGTTTTATCGGCTTGTTATTGAATCAGCTACTCTGATATAAAATAAGGGAGTTTCAGTTTTTTAAATGTTACATTAAGCTTGAAACGAGTCTTTCTGTGAGAATAATGTGATAATACACTGGATTGAGAAATCCTCTGTTTTGTTGATGTAGCAGAGATTCTTTTTATACTTCTATCAGTTATTATCAGTCATATTTCATCAGTTTTGAGTTTATACTCTGACTGTGATCCTCAGTAATCTGACCTGGTTCACAGAAGCCTAGGGAATGTTCTACTTCCTGCAGACCTGCTTTTGCATTAATAGAATCCTGTTGCTAATAAAAAGCTGCTCCTACAACGCTGTGTGTGTGTGTGTGTGTGTGTGTGTGTGTGTGTGTGTGTGTGTGTGTGTGTGTGTGTGTGTGTGTGTGTGTGTGTGTGTGTGTGTGTGTGTGTGTGTGTGTGTGTGTGTGTGTGTGTGTGTTTTTTTTTTCTTCAGGCCAACACCAGCAGCTTGAAGAGCTTCCTGTCTGCCGCGCGACTGGCTCACAGAGGAAGTGACACGGACTCGCTCCCGCTATCCTCCCTCGGCCCGGTCCGCGCACGTGACGTGGAGAAGCCCAAGAAGAAGCTCAGCATTCTGTCTAAGAAGGACTACCCGCTAGCGTCCAGCTTCCCCTTCTCCCTGGAGCAGCTGCAGGTGTCGTACTGCCGGCTGACCCGCGTGGACATGCGGATGCTAGCGCTGTGCTCGCTGCGCCGGCTCGACCTTAGCAACAACCACATCCGTAAGCTGCCGGCCACCATCGGGGACCTGCGCTGCCTCGCGGAACTCATTCTGCACAACAACCGCCTGCAGAGCTTCCCTGACGCCCTGTGTGTGTCCACTCTCCAGACCTCACTACAGCATCTGGACCTGAGCCAGAACCAGCTGACGGTTCTGCCCGCGCGCTTCTGCCAGCTACGGCACCTGGTGAACCTGCGCCTGGACGCTAACCAGCTCCAGCGGCTCCCCTTCCACATCGGCCGGCTCTCCAAGCTACGCTTCCTCTCCGCGGCTCAGAACCAGCTCTCGGTACTTCCTGCGGGCTTTAGGAAGCTGTGCCTGGAGAACTTGGACCTGTTTGGGAACCCGTTTACTCAAGCCAACGCTCTGGAGCACACGATCCGTCTCACGTTCCCGCTGACGCTCCAAGAGCTGACGGCGCGCGCCGTGGTCGACCTCAGGTGAGCTAACGTAGATCTGCTGACGTCACTCGTTCATGCTAATGTTGGGGATGGGCATTTCAAGCAAAAATAATAATTGATAATTGCTGGGAATTATTCGAAAATCGCACTCCACTCAATCACTCACGGCCCAAGCCATCGCTCCACTCATGATCCGCTCTCCGGTGAATCACGTTCGCTCTAATCCCGCTCCCACATTCAATTTCTATACTGTATGTGTTGTAGCCATTAAAAAGGTAAAATCAGGTAAAAAAAAAAAAGGTCATATTTATGTTGAAATAATATAATGTTAATTTTTATTTCATCTATGTTGATTTATATGAAAAGTGAACAGCATAAGTAAGTGTGAGTGTGCTCTGGTGTTCAGGATCCCGCTAACGTGTTCAGGATCCCGCTAACGGTGTATATTTTTGTTTTGATGTTCATATTTAATATACCGCCATACCGATGTGATTGATTACACAATGTTCGGAACGAACGTTACGCTGCGCCACCGACACTGTTTCAGACGGACCCTTACAATGTTGCACTTCTAAGCAGCGACGGTGAGGCGAGGGTAAATCAAACAGCAGTGCTCTGGTGTTACGCTACAGGGAAGGTGGACGCTGCAGAACTATGGCGTTATTTTCCTATCAAATTTCGAGAGCGCACAGCAAATCAATATAACGCGCAAGCGCGAATCTCTCCTCGCGCATGCTCTCAGATACACGCGGCTCTCGTGAGAATAGGTCTATTTTCTCCGGGCTCGTTCGGAGAATCCTGCACTGAAAACGTGTTCAGCGCAATCGTGAATCTCTCCTCTTCCCCTGCTAACAATTTTAGGTTATAGGAACGTTTTCAGAATGTTCCCATTAAGTTGTAAAAAACATTATTTCTGAATGTTCTAGGAACATTCAACACGTCCAGCTTTTTTAGACGTTGTATTAGCGTTCTTGCTTGGTTATAAGAATGTTATTAGAATGTTAAGAAATAACAATTTTAGGTTATATTGGGCGCTATTCTATTCTTCAATATTAACGAATTACAATAAAATAGACCATCCTAAGTCAATTTATTGCAGTAATTCCACTAGAAAATGCTTTAAACAGCTTATTATGCATGGAAAAAACACGTCATAAATCGGAAAACGGCTTAATTTTGAAAAGAAATGTGATATAATTTTTTGGGTCAAACCACCCGCTAACTTGTTCTTGTGTTCAGGATCCCGCACGGGCCTCACCTCGTCCCCTTCCAGGTGTGTGACGAGCTGGACTTGTGTAAGGTGTGTGACTGCGGGCGCGCGTGTGTGAACTCCTTCATCCAGACGGCGGTGGGCATGAATCTGCACCTGGTGTCGCACACAGTGGTTCTGGTGGACAACATGGGCGGCACCGAGGCGCCGGTGCAGAAACACTTCTGCTCTCTCGTGTGTTACTGCGAGTTCATGGACGGCTGCGTTCAGCGCGACCTCAGATGACCCTGCTTGTGTTTCTTTGTTTATTCTTTTTTATCTTTTGTGGAAAAGACTGTGAATTCCTGCAACACAACCAATGCTTTGTGAAACTAATAAAATGTAGTATAAGAAACATGATTTAAATGATTTCACACCATACTTCTTTTATTTTTATCAAGATTTATTTCTATTCTTTTTCCAATCTCAAGCTCAATCTGTTTAAAGTTTGAGCATATTTGTTGATTTACAAAAATATATTTTTTCTTTTATTCCAGATTTAAACACTAAACTTTATTCACAGTTTATTTGAACTAATTAAATAACTGTCCAAGAATATAAATTTGCTGCTTAGTCCAAATCAAAGCGCAGTGTGTTCTGGAAACGCAAGGTGGCCGAGGTCACGTGACTGGTCTCTCTCAGCACTGGGTCCTCCGACCGTATCCCAGCATCCCCGTCGCTCCCGCAGTCTCCTGAAGAACGCTTCGACTCTGGACCTTCAGCTTCCCGGGTTGAGTTGGGATCCTCCTGCTCCGTCACGGAGCTGCTGGTTGGCTGATGGATCAGTGTGTTGTCATTGGTCTGAAGTGACGTGTTTTCTGCCTCTTCATCTCTACTGTGGAGACGGTGAGATTCCCTGACGAACCCCTACAGACACACAGCAACATCACTAATATATACTGTAATATCAGAGCAACATCACTAATATATACTGTAATATCAGAGCAACATCACTAATAATATCATGAGAAATATCACTAATATCTACTGTAATCGTGTAATATGAGAAACATAACTGATACCTACTGTAATATCATGAGAAATATCACTAATATCTACTGTAATATTGTAATATCATGAGCAAAAATCAGTCACACTGGACAGCCAATGAATTTGATACATTGATATTATTTGTATAAGGAATATTGTAAGTTGGCCACGTACTGTCTCAGATAAAGATTCGACTGCTCGATTAGTGTTGGTTTCATCTTCTACAGAACGATCCGGTTCTGTCCGGTTCTCTGTTGGGTTGATGATTAAATGGTTGCTCATCACGTGTGTCTGTCGATCTCTCGTTAAATCGGTGAATTGAGGCTCAAATTCCGTATCACATGACGGCTGACTCCGCTCTGATTCTGTGTGATCCAGAGCAAGACCTTCAATGTGATCCGGATCAAGACCTCCTCCTGTGTGATCCGGATCAAGACCTCCAGTGTGATCCGGATCAAGACCTCCTCCTATATGATCCGAAGAAAGACCTGTGTGATCCGGATCAAGACCTCCTCCTGTGTGATCCGGATCAAGACCTCCTCCTGTGTGATCCGGAGCAAGACCTCCTCCTGTGTGATCCGGATCAAGACCTCCTCCTGTGTGATACGGATCAAGACCTCCAGTGTGATCCGGATCAAGACCTCCTCCTATATGATCCGAAGCAAGACCTGTGTGATCCGGATCAAGACCTCCTCCTGTGTGATCCGGAGCAAGACCTTCAGTGTGATCCAGATCAAGACCTCCTACTACATGATCCGAAGCAAGACCTGTGTGATCCGGATCAAGACCTCCTTCTATGTGGTCCGGAGCGAGACCTTCTGTGTGATCCGGATCAAGACCTCCTCCTATGTGATCTGAATCAAGAACTTCTGTGTGATCCGGATCAAGACCTTCAGTGTGATCGGGATCAAGACCTCCTCCTATGTGATCTGAATCAAGAACTTCTGTGTGATCCGGATCAAGACCTTCAGTGTGATCCGGATGAAGACCTCCTCCTATATGATCCGAAGCAAGACCTGTGTGATCCGGATCAAGACCTCCTCCTTTGTGATCCGGATCAAGACCTCCTTCTATGTGATCCGAATAATGACCTTCAGTGTGATCGGGATCAAGACCTCCCCCTATGTGATCCGAAGCAAGAACTTCTGTGTGATCCGGATCAAGACCTGCTCCTATGTGATCCAAATCAAGACATCCTCCTATGTGGTCCGGAGCGAGACCTTCTGTGTGATCCGGATCAAGACCTCCTCCTATGTGATCCGGAGCGAGACCTTCTGTGTGATCCGGATGAAGACCGTCCTCTTTTGTGTTCTGATCTGCTTCCTCGTTGACGTCACTCTTCGCCTCATCGCAGCTCACCCGTAACTCCAGGGTTTTCGCTGGCCGGACGGGAAGAGTGATTGTCAACTGTTTCTTAGTTTTGTTGAATTTTGCGTCTCCTTTCTCTTCATCCACCGGATAGGCGAGCGGAAGGTCCAGTCGGTACGCTGGTTCTGGAGCCTCCAGGATGAGGCGTCGCTCCGTCACACACACCTCAGCCTCCAGTGCTGATCCCAGCAGCGGCACATCGATGATGACCACGATCTCTCTGGGTCGGGCCCCGGGCCCCGAGTCTCGGGAGCACCTGTAATCCTGCAAATCCACGACTGAACGGTATTTTACGGTGTAATGTGGTTTGATGGGCTGTTTGGATCTGATGTCATCAGGATTACAAGGACTTTGGCTCGCTTCGGGTTCTTTTTCTGGTGCTGTTTGATTCTCATCTGGATATGGAAACGACAGCACGTCCTCACCGGAGCTTCGGTTCGTCTGGTGGTGTCCGGGGATCGGCCTGCGGATCACAGCTGGATGTGCAACACCTTTATACTTCATCTTCAGCTGCTTTACTTGCTCTCTGTCCATCTTGATGTGGAAAGAGTCTTCGATGCCTCCGATGGCGGTACTGTGGATGAGTTTCATGAATCTCGCGTTTTTTGCCGCCATGTGAAGCGCGTCTGGATGGAAAACAATGTCGTAAACCTCACAGCCGTTCCCCGCGGCGTCCCGGTCGGCTCGGCCCGGTGTCAGACTGAACGGCAAGCGCCAGTTCTGACCCGGTTCCCCGTCTCGGTCTCGAGCTGCTTCACACGACGGTTTACCGATGCGCGGATTAGAGCAGATGTTGATGAAGCATTTCCCGCGCGCGCTGCGTGTTTTGAGCACGTGATTCGCCTCGGGGTGAATAAACTGCACGCTATTGCCCCTTTCCTCCTCCATCTGAGTGATCTCCTCCTCATATCTCCTCCGGTTCTCCGGGTCCGAGATCTCAGCCGCGTATTCCAGCAGTAACTCGCGGAACTTCTCGTCTTTTAGCGCTTTACCGAATCTATTCATTTCATCGCGTGTCAAATTCAGTTCTTCGAGTTTGCTGCCCATATCCATTATAGATTGTTAACTTCAAGTAACTGACAACAAGCTGTGTTAACGTTAATCTCTTGTGGGTCTTTCCAAACTACAGCAACCGGAAAAACTCAGTAGTGATGAATGGAGGACTCGGTAACCATGGAAACCTGCAACATATCAGGGCGCGCGTCCGCTTTGCGTGAGCGCGCCGGTCTCTTCATTTCAATATTTTTCTTCTTATTTGTAGTAATTGTACCAATTTAACTGTGTGCACTATTTTGAATGGTTTTCTCTTTCAATGGACACATTACTAACCAGACCAGTGGAAAGTGAGTCGATGTTTAATAAACGGTTCCCAGAAAGAAAATACAAAACGGGAAAATAAATATAGTTTAACAATCCTGAATGTAGACATTTTAACAATATTTATTTAGAAAACAATGACGACCAGTAACTTATTATAAAGCAAATCACTCCAAACACAAACAATATTAATTACACAGTATATTAATTGTGGGAATAGAGCTATTCTTATGTATGTAAGTGCTGGTTGCACTTTATTTTAAGGTGTAATTTTTACAGTGTAATTATATATTTAAGTACTGAGTAATATTAAGCAACTACATGTAGGCTACTTACTATAAGATCAGGGTAGGGTTAGGATTCGGTTGAGGGTTAGTTCCATGTCATTATGCATAAATTACTGTTATTAATTCAAGTCACCTTTATTTTTACAGAGTGTTTCAGAGCAGCTTTACAGTGATAACAGGGAAATAATAAAACAAAGTTTGTTTATAAAAGAAAATAGCGTCACTGTCCAGCTTAAGTAGTGATGGTTTATTTTTGCTGTAAAAAAGTTAGTAATTTAAGTTAATCTATATATAGACCATTTCACAAGATGTAAACAACACGGGTCCAGAAACACTTCCTGTTTCAGTTTGTAACTGTTTTCTTTATTTCACATGTAAAGAAAACATCTTAAAGATGTTTGTTTAACTTTTTGATTCAGTTTTAAATGTTCTGTTGGTTGTATTTTATCCCAGCTTTTATGTAGTGTTAAAAAACTGAAACAGGAAGTGCTTCTGGACCAGTGTTGTTTACATCTTGTGAAATTGTCTATATATATATATATACAGGACGTGTATATATATATAGGCGCTCTGAAGAAAACAAACTGTGATGTCGTCGATAAGTACATGTAACAAGGACACTGTAAAATAAAGTGTCACCCAGTTGCTTATTCTAAAGCGAGTCACTGGGAGGTTCTGAACATGTTCTGTGGTGTTCTGCTGGCCCGTTTCTCCACAGCGCGCCTCAGCTTCGGGGGTAAACACTGGATCTGGGACTGAAACACACTGGAATGGTTTGCAATGAAGTCCTGGCACAACCTGTTGGAATAAAGCACATTAGTTGTGTGTTCCCCGTGATGTGTGTGTGTGGTTGTTCTGGATCGTACCGGATCAGCGGGTACGGCTGGGTCTGGAACACCAGCGCGTCGTTGCAGTGGCCCTGAAACACACACCGTTCTCACTCACACCTTCCTCATGTTAGCGGGATTCATGTGTGTGTCAGAAGCTCGAGACTTACTTTGTCCACCAGAAGAATATAATCATGACTCCCTCCGAACACAATCACATCCGAGTCTCTTCCGGGACAAGCGCTGTGCCAAAGCCTGAGGAAAGCAGACTATATAGAAACCTGTAGAAATACAACAAAACTGTAGATCGTTAAACTCCATCATCTTTCACCAACCGTGGCTTGTCCTCGTGCGGATGCTCCTTCCTCGCCCATCCTCGCGTCTCCAGATCCAGCAGCCAGCCGTCGCCTAACACACCCAGCACGCGTCCTAGTTAGGGTAGGTTGATCTGTAGTGTGTGTGTAGTGTGTGTGTGTGTGTGTGCTGATACTCACTCATGGGTCTGCAGTCTTCACTGAGTCCACCGAACAGAAAGAGTGAGGAGTCTGACACTGGTGAGAGAGTGTGCCATGATCGACCCGAGGGAGAGACGCTGCAGGAGACGCTGAGAGAGAGACCGGCAGAACACACACAGATAGATCTGCTTCAGGTACAACACACACACACACACACTCACTGTGACTCACTCACACAGATGCTGACACTAACCCTGACCCCTAACCCTACCCATCACATAACACTTTCTTCTGTATTTTTACTTTTATTATGTTTATTAATCAATTTTCTAAAGTATAGCTAAACATTCCCTCTCTCACACACACACACACACACACACTCAAACACACATAGCTGGCAATGGAAAATATTACTTCTGTTCTGAAAGATGTCTTACATTTCTGACCATGTCCATGAATTCAAATCCAGACAAAATACATCACATGTTCTAGTTTCCTGTGTAGAAAACAAACACAAGCATGCTAACAGAACTGCACATGACAGTAGTTCTGGAGTGATCAGTAAAGGCAGGAGTGTGTGTGTGTGTGTGTGTGTTAGAGCTGAGTTCAGAGACGCCGCAGCTGTAACAGTGTGAGTGATGTTTCTCTATTAAACACAATAGTAATGGCGCTTTTCCAGTCCTGGTCCGGCTCAGTACGGTTGGGCTCGCTTCGCTTTAGCTCGGTTTGCTTTTCCACTGCAGTAGTGCCGCTTCAGTGAGGAACGTCTGCACTTCGCCCACTGGCCACGATTCAGCCATTTCTTTTTTGGAAGTTTTCTTTCTCTCATTTTTATTCAAGCTAGTCGTTTTAGAACAGGTGCTACCGCCGTGGCTGTTACTGGCTATTTAAATCTAGCGGGTTTGTCTCGCAAATACAATGACGCAGGTAGTGACGATTCAGTGGTCCAATCAGTGGTCAGCAGTGTGTTCACGTCACATTTTAGTGTCGGTATGGTGCGCTTGGATCCTCAACAGAGGTGGTGCCGTTTAAAGCGAGCCGTGCCGTGCTGTGGAAAAGCGGCATAACTCACCTTTATTCTCCCTCCACATACGAAACCTTTACTGCCGATCGTAGCACTAGCGTGAGCGGCTCGCGGTGCAGGAGCGCGACCCTGTCGAACAAACACACACACACACACACACTCATCTGTGTCTAGCATTCACATAGCTGGTAATGCAAAATATTAGTCATTGATTCATAGTGCTAAATGACGTTTGAACGACTTACGAAGGTCTGAGGTTCAGTCCACCTTCTGCTATCCGGATCGAACTCGTGCGTTTCGTTGTTCCACCCCCAGAAGAGGTCCTCGGCCTGCGAGAGAAAACCGACACTGATATGGATCCGTTTCACATCGCTCTTCGTCTGTGAGCAGTTCCATATCGAGCACATCTACCCATGATGCTTCATCCACAGCGAAGCTCCTCGGGTCCCTGATGTCGCTCCGCAGCTTGTGGCCATATCCACCGAAGTAGACCATTCTGGCAGGACATCGAAACTCAATACAAACATGACCATCCTAATATATATTAATGGATGAGTATCAAGCGCTGACCTTCCTTTATGAACCCAACAGGACAGTTTGTCTCGCGGTGACGGGGCAGACCCGGACTGGGGCTCGAGCTTCCTCCAGCTGAACGCCCCATCGTGGAGATCGACGGAGTAGAGCTGAAATTAGACATTTATTCAGAACCTAATGGCTTAGACTGCTGCAAAAGAACAGAGTCGGCACTGAACAAAGCTGTACTTCATTGGTCTGTCCATCATCACAGCAGCCTCCGAATATATACAGGAGTCCGTTCACAATACAGCCACAGGTCCCGGAGAGAGACGGGGGAACCGTCCCAGACATCCCACGCCTGACCCTTCAGAAGAAGAGAGAACTCACTTAAAGCTGCAATCCGCAGTCAGGGTTAGGGCAGATATCTCTGTTCGAAATCTTTGCAGTTATTCGAGCTTTCCGTGGGTTACGCCTCGGCACGGCACAGCGCGGATGAATCCAGTGTTTGAGGAGAGCGCGTGTCTGTCAGTCGCCGTGTGGGGACTGGCATTCAGAATCACAGATTATACATTTTTTGGAAGTATGACCAACATAATCATTTTCACCGCAAAATGTCATCTGAACAAGTAACATCCACTTTTGTTCTGGTTCTGACTAACTAGGGGAGAGAAATCATTGCAGACTGCCTAAAACGCACTGATTAAATCTAACGATCGCTTATCATATCATGTAAAATCGTGCAAATTATATTTTGTTCTTAAATTGTTAATGTTCAACATCAGGATTGCGTGACTACATTTTAATGCCCTTCTGATATTTATCCTTGTATTCGCACGGGCCGGTGGGGTCAAGTGCTGCAGATCCTCCAACATCCTCACAGTCTACTTGCTGAGACTCTTCTTTATGTGATTTTACTGATGTGTGTGTACAGATGTATGTGTGTGTACAGATGTGTGTGTGTGTGTGTGTGTGTACAGATGTGATGTAATGACGCAAAGACAAGCTCGAGTCTCCCGCGGAAATCTACCAGTACAGAACCATTGGAGTTACAAACATTATTATTACAAGCTTGCCGTTTTTAATCGAGCTAAGGCAAGCAGAGAGTTTTGAACACTGACAGCTTATTTGCTCAAAAACATTTTTTGGATAATTTTTAACCCAAAAAAGCTACGGACTGCAGCTTTAAGCTCAACTTACACATACCAACAACAACAGAGAAAGCAATGCGCGCGCACGCACACAATTATGCTTGTTGACAGTCAAAAATCATTCTTACCATAACCCAGTTTCTAAGTCATACAGCCAAAGCTCGTCATTTGGAAGAAAAACTTCATGTTCTGCCACCGACTTAAGAATCAATCATTAGAAAGAACAATAATTTGTATCTGTACAGTAAAATAAATATGTGAAATATTCAAGATTATTATTATTATTACCACATAACCACCCCAGACATATAAATACTGTCCGTCCGCCGCCGCGGTGTGTCCGCTTCTCTCTCGAGCCACTGTTTCACTCATCACGATTATTAATAGTGCTGATATTAGTACAGTAACCGAGGGACTGGATCTGGCAGCTCGTGTCACGCGCAAAACAACAACAGCCACGCGCGTGCGCGTGTGTGAAAGAGCGCTTCTGTGTTTTTAGTTTTCTGTCTGTCATCTTAATCAATTGTTTTACAAACAAAGAATCTTATCTGAAACAAAACTAATAACGTTACTAAAAAACAACAACAACTGTTAACAAAGAGGAACTAAACACGGCTTTTATTTTGAAAGGTGTAGTAATGTAACTGTAGCTGAGGAACTAAACGCGGCTTTTATTTTGAAAGGTGTAGTAATGTAACTGTAGCTGAGGAACTAAACACGGCTTTTATTTTGAAAGGTGTAGTAATGTAACTGTAGCTGAGGAACTAAACGCGGCTTTTATTTTGACGTGCGATGTTCCGGAAGCGCCAGTAGCGCGGGAGCGGTAGATGAAGATGGACGCGCGCAGAGTGAAGCTGAAAGTGAGCGCGGGATTTAAAATGCGCGGATTAATCCTGCGACCGTACGTGGAGCTCAGTTCATCAACATTGGTTTATTCGCGCCGTGTTCGCCAGGGTTGTTGTGCAGTGATGATTCGTGTTTCCCCCGCAGGGAGTCCAGCCGGTTTCTGCTGCAGGTTCTGGAGTCCGTCAGTGACGCGGATCTGGATGAAGTTCTGGAGAGAATCTTAGATGCTGTTGAAAAGCAGCCTCGTATGTCTGTTTTTACCACCACCACCATCATCATCATCATGATGATGATTGTTATTGTTTTGATGATGATTGTTGTTATGATGATGAGTTCTGTCTGTGTTGTCAGTGTCCTCCAGTATGATTGAACTGTCTGTGGCAGAAGCGGCTGTTCAGGACTGCAGTCAGTCGTGTGATGAGACCATGTAAGACACACACACACACACACACACACACACACACACACACACACACACACACACACACTGCAGTCAGTCCTGTGAGGAGACCATGTAAGACACACACACACACACACACACACACACACACACACACACACACACACACACACACACACACACACACACACACACACACACACTGCAGTCAGTCCTGTGATGAGACCATGTAATACAAACACTCTCTCTCACAAACAATGTCTCACACACACGCACACATCTAACTCTATAGGATTTTACTGCCACGTTCACGTTCATGTTCTTGGTTTCAGTGATAACGTTTTCAACATTATCGGAGCCTTCGATGTTCCTCGATTCGTCTTCAGCTCAGAGAGGAAGAAATTTGTGCAGTAAGGAATCATTAAACAACATTATATGCTAATCAAGTGCATGTGGTTTGTTTTTTGAGTGTTAACAGTGGAATTTTAATATTATTTATGTTCTATTATGGTATTTATTAATAATTTGATTTATTTTCAATTGTTCAATTATTTTAATTATTTTCACATTTACAAATGTATGTACTTTTTACATCATTATGATTATTATATAGATTTAATTCATTTTAATTTCAGTTTTAGTCATTTATTACTTCATCTTAAATCCAAGGAATGTTCTATTTTATTTTAGCTTTATTTCTATTACTGAAAACAATTGTTTTATTGAACAATATCAACAATATGTATATATGTATATATATATATATTAGGGGTGGCACGGTTCATGAAACCGACGGTTCGGTTTGTATCACGGTTTTAGTGTCACGGTTTTCGGTTCTGTACGGTTCTTGTTATTTTTTTCTTTTAATCTTTAACACTTCAGAAATGTACTTCAGCATGTGATCTATAGCTTAATTATCCACACTTTAGGATACAGTATAAAAAAAATTATATTCATGCAATCATGCACAAACTGAATTTGACTCTTTGACTTTAAGCACATGTTGGGACTATCTCAGAGGAAAGCTAGGTGAGATTTAGATACAGCAAGTGAGGAAGAAATTGACATGCTTTTCGTTTATTTGGCAAAAAAAAGGAGAATGTGTATCACTATCTCTACAAGAACTTGTGCATTTTTATCACACAAATCTTATTTACACAAAGAAATTAACTTGCATTTATGAACTGACAACTTTTGTAGCTCTTACAAAAATTCTATCTTTTAAAAGAAAAAAAGAGGAACTACACTGTCTTTTATGAATAAGTCAATATACATGAAACCTTATTGCCTATAATTAGGCTATAGAAATAGCAAAGGCCATAAACATAAAGTGAAAAGTTCAACCTCAACACAAAAAACAGTATCAACAATGCTTCTATTCCCAAAAAGTGAGGGTACCTTTTTTTCAGTTTAAATTAAAGTGCAGGATTTGGAAACATTTGACTGAAGCTCTTATCTAAACATAAAGTGCCACTGTAACGTTATATTAAAATACCATAACATGAAATCAAAAATGTCCCCACACACCGGACTTATAGACTTATAGGACGCTGGCGCATCCTCCAACTCCCTCATCTCTCCCACTTGCCATTTCTCCGCGTGCCGTGACCTGCAGCGCTCCATACTCCACTTTTACTGGCTTGTTTACTAACTTGAACCGGCGCTGCACAGAGCGATCGGTAATGACATCAAATACCGCGAAAGTGAGTGACGGAGCCGTCGTTCCCGCTCTAGTGTGATGTTATTTACCGGTCGCTCTGTGCAGCGCCGGTCCAAGTCAAACAAGCTTATGTCGCGCGAAAAGAAAACACACGTCACATACGGGCACGAGGTTACATTGCGCATGCGTCGAACCGTGAGACGCACACACGCTCCGAACCGAGACAAGCGAACCGAACGGTTCGGGTGTTTTTTCATGTACCGTGCCACCCCTAATATATATATATATATATGTGTGTGTATATACATGTGTGTATATATATATATATATATACATATATATATAACAATATTCATAAACGCCATGTACTTTGTAGGCGATGTGTTCAGGTCATGTGTGAATGCAGACTTGCGCTTCTCTCTGTGTGTGTGTGTGTGTGTGGCTGGTTTAGTGTCGGCATGACGACTCATGCGGTGCCGAAGCTGTGCGGCGAGTCCAGAGATAAAGCCGAGCTCTTCCGAGAGCGATACACCATCCTGCAACAGGCAAGGCCTCATATCTGCCTTTATTATCTCAACTGATATCATGATCTCCTCAATCACAGCGTGTAGAATTATACGATCACAAACACAGATGGACACAGGCTTCACTGTGCAGTTATTCAGGACGTCATGTGACCGCTGTGATTGTAATGCATTGTGAATGACTGAACACTCACCTGTCAATCAAGCGCTGCCCTGAAACGAGTCGGTCATGTCTATAGCGCTTTCACAACACGCATCGTTTCAAAGCCGCTTCACAGAAACTCCTAAAGTTTATAATATCTTCATGCCTAATAGTCACACTGAGCACATTAGAAAACTAGTGTTTTTATCTTCATTTGCAGTGTATAAATATGTACTAAATGAACCAGTATAATAAGAGCCGCTTGATTATCAGGGTGAGTGTCAGTGAGGGTCGTAGTGGAGAAATCACAGCACACACACACACACACACACACACGTAAACTGAGTTTCTTTCTCATGATCTGTGTGACAGCGAACACACAGGCACGAGCTCTTCACTCCTCCGGTTATTGGTTCAACTGTAGATGAAGGGAGAAACAAGTTCCAGGTAAACATGAGCATCCCTCACCGTTGTAAGAGATGTGTGTGTCGCTGCTTGACGACCTGTGACTGATCCAGCTCTTCGTATTACAGCTGAAGACGGTGGAAGCTCTGCTGGGCAGCACAGCTAAAGTCGGAGAAGTGATCGTCCTCGGCATGATCACACAGCTGAAAGAGGTATCACACACTCGTGCTGTCTTCAGCTGTGGAGTGAGGTGTAGTGTAGCCAAGTATGGTGTTCCCCACACACACACACACACACATACATCAGCGAGTATTGAACACACACACATATACATTAGCAAGTATTGAACACACACACATCAGCGAGTATTGATCTGTGATGGAAAATATAGATGCTTTAACTTTTCAGAACACTTGCTTCCTGACTCCAGATGTTGATAAATCTCCATCCTCGGTTCTTTCAGGGCAAGTTCTACCTGGAGGACGTCAGCGGCACAGTGCAGCTCAACATATCAAAGGCAATATCCTTCCTGTGTTTGTCATGGTCACACGTGCTGCTGTCTTACAGGATGTTTCCGTTTGTTCCTTAACGCTCACACCAGTTTCACAGCGGCCTTTACACAGAGTCCTGCTTCGTTCTGGCTGAGGGTGAGTCTCTGTCCCGCTGCCGTCCAACTCCAGACCCTGATCTCTGTAATCACATGATCTGATCTCTGTCATCACATGATCTGATCTCTGTCATCACATGATCTGATCTCTGTCATCACATGATCTGATCTCTATAATCACATGATCTGATCTCTGTAATCACATGATCTGATCTCTGTAATCACATGATCTGATCTCTGTAATCACATGATCTGATCTCTATAATCACATGATCTGATCTCTGTCATCACATGATCTGATCTCTGTCATCACATGATCTGATCTCTGTCATCACATGATCTGATCTCTGTCATCACATGATCTGATCTCTATAATCACATGATCTGATCTCTGTCATCACATGATCTGATCTCTGTCATCACATGATCTGATCTCTGTCATCACATGATCTGATCTCTGTCATCACATGATCTGATCTCTATAATCACATGATCTGATCTCTGTAATCACATGATCTGATCTCTGTCATCACATGATCTGATCTCTATAATCACATGATCTGATCTCTGTCATCACATGATCTGATCTCTGTCATCACATGATATCTGATCTCTGTCATCACATGATCTGATCTCTGTAATCACATGATCTGATCTCTGTCATCACATGATCTGATCTCTGTCATCACATGATCTGATCTCTGTCATCACATGATCTGATCTCTATAATCACATGATCTGATCTCTGTAATCACATGATCGGATCTCTGTAATCACATGTTCTGATCTCTATAATCACATGTTCTGTCTGTATTCCCAGGATGGTACGAGGATTCTGTGTTCCACGTCAACGCGTTTGGGTTCCCACCCACAGAACCCTCTTCTTTCACCAGGTGTGTATTAGCTGTTATTCACTGTAACTTTAGCTCACATGGTTCTACATCCACATGGTGTTTTCTTGTCTGCGTACAGGGCATATTATGGCAATATAAACTTCTTTGGTGGGCCGTCCACCACTGC